CAGGAAAACCTGCCCTACAAGTGGAAGATGAAGTACTAAATGCATCCCTTCTCCTGCCAATAATTCATGTCCCTATATCAATGAAGTCTGAGGCAGGGGAGCTCTACCGTGATAGCTGTTAGTGTCCAGGCTAGCAAACTGGCTAGGAGGGAAGGGCTTTGGTGTGATCTTAGAGGGAGGACAGGAAGGGTGTGACCCTTCAAGCTGGGTCTTCTGCCCCTCATGAGTTGCAGGCATGCCATTTGATCTCTTGATTTTATAGCTGGAGAGAACTGGTTAGACCACACACACACACACACACACACACACACACACACACACAATCCCTCTTAAGGACCAACCTTGATACACAGTCTAAACTGCTAACAAGGAAGGAAATATTTTCCTAACACTGACTCAGGCTTTTCAAGAGGCTTTGTTCCTCTGAGCCAGCAAGTCATAAGACTAAAGAGAAAAGTGTTTGCTTCCTTCAATTCCTCCCCCAGAAAACCCCTTCCTAAATATGCTCTTTCAGACTTCCAGGGAAGAATCATACTTCTCAGTACTTTCTTCCAGGGGGGTTCAAAACTTCCTTCCTGCCCTATTCACTCTCCATGGAAGGAGACAGAGTTTAGGAAGGATGTGCTGGAGAGTAATAATTGGCCTCTATCAGTCACCAGGTAAAATTCCTGTGTGGTTCTACAAGTAAAAAAAAAAATAAGAAGCTACTTCATTAGGTTATGCTTCTATCCTACAGACTCTCTTAATAAAAGCTAAAATTAATCAAAAATTACAAATATGGGTAGTACTTTTTTAAAAAATGGACTCATACTCCTGCTAGGCATATACAGCTCTCTACCAAAGTAAACCAAAATAGGGACTTTTTGACGTTTTGAACTAATAATTATTATTATTTCTTTTATCTACATGACATAGAACTGCTTCTCAAATAGAGTTTACAGAATCACCTGGAGGGGCTTATTGAAGTCACTGCATCCTGGACCACTCTATCCAGGAGGTCTAGAATGGGTTCATCATCCCCAGGGGGATTCTGAAGCAGGTGATTGTCCCTCACAATTAGTTCTAGGTGTTGGCTGACAACATGAGCTGAGAGAAATGTAAAAATTATATTCATTCCTAAATAGTTAATCTGCCGCCCTGTAGTGCCACTCTTTCAACAGAAAAAAACAATTACTCTGAGGAGTAACCACATAATTAGGAGGTTATAACTACATTGCAGAAGGAAGCATAGTGATAGAGAACAAAGGAATTTGTGGATTAATTAGCAATACAATACTGAACTTCATGCAATTACAGGCCAATTAGACAAGTACTTCAGATTGGTCACAAAACACTCCCTGATTTCTGAAGGTGAAGAAAATGCTTGGATTTAATGGAGTCAAACCTGAGATCTCACTTCTATTACTCAAAGGAGCACAATCACTCAGCAGGTTGCATCTGATGTAATAGGTTCTTGTATTTTTTTTCTTTGCAATATACTTACAATTCTCAAAAAGAAGTTTTAAAATTAAAAAAACTTAAAATTTTATATGTGTACATATGTTTATCATTGATTTGTTAAGAAAAGTTCTATTGAGACTGAGAATTGAAATACAATTGTGACATAGCCTACAAGTGGCTTACACCATGGTGGAGGAGATGAAGGAAATCAAATTAAGGTCAGGGGCCATAATGGTGACACAGTACAGGGCATAAGTGAGGTCTTCAAGAAGGAGTCACCACAGAAAGGTCAGGGAGACATGCAGTCTGAACTCATTCCTGAAGACTTGACATTAGCCAGGTGAACTGGAAAAGAGAGACAAAAGAGCAACCAGTGCACAGAGGTATGGATTCACACATCAGGTAATTTGGCTTGGCCAAATTAGGGAACACCTGCAGGCAGCTAATCTAGAGAGGAAAGCAAGAGCCAGTTCATACTTAAAACGTGGACTTTATACTGAAGGCACTGTGAATTCACTTATGGAATTTTAGCAGACATACAGTAATATAGTTTGGTTAAAAAGAAAAGTCTAAGGAGGCATGAGGATGGGTGGGAGAAGACACAGAGAGGATCCACTTAGGAGATTCTTGCTCTGTGATTGATAGGGAAGATGGTGGGGATTTAAGAGGGTAGTGTAGGTGGTGACATGAGGGAGGGGAGGCATTCAGAGGTTGTGACATGGGGAGGGGAGGCATTCAGAGGTGCCTAAGTGCAAAACTGGTAATGCCAGGGACAGAGGAAAAGCAGATAAATAATCTAGAAATATCCAGATTGGTGATCACCTGGTGGGATAGATGGAGGTACCAGAAACCAAACTAGGAAATACAGGCAGAAAAGCAAATCACAGCTGATGAGTTCTGTTTGAGGCATATTGGATTCACATTTCCTAAAAGTTCACACCAGTTATTTGGTAGCTTACATATAAAGAAAATGTGGAGAGGAAAATATGGTTTGGGATAAAGATGACATACAAAATATTAATAAGAAGTATGGACAAACAATAGACACTGACTAATCAGAACCGGTGCCTTATCAGCTAGAAAGGATTCCAGTAATAAACACAGCCATAAAGATACACAGCAACTAATGCCACCTTGGCACTGTCAATCATCAGAGGGATGAGAGACCACAGGGAAACAGAAGGGAAGAAACCAAAGAACACTTACAATGGCATGGTGCAAAGGAAGAGTTTGTGGAGAAAAAGGATGAGAGGGATAGTCAGATTGGAGAATCAAGAAAGGTCCTGGGGAGCAGAAAGCTCCAGACAGAGCACGGTGACAGGCCATTAAGAGATTATCCTCCCAACCCTTTCCCAGGCTGAAATAGGGCTGGTCTAAGATGAGAGAGGCTGAAATGAAGGGCAATTCACCCTGAGGATATTTTCTACTCTCACACCAATCCTCACTGGGCAGCTGATCTGCCTGCTTGGACAAAACTAATCCCATTCACTTTCCTTTTCCAATAAAAGACCCTCTGGTAACTCTCTGAGTTTATTAAGTTCATGTCGGTAAAATCTTTTCCCTATAACCTTTCTCCACTTTAGTTTTTTCTTCTGTACCTGAAGATTAAAGGCAAGTTCTCTGCCCTGGTGGAGCATGCCTCCTATCCCAGGAGAGGCTGAGGAAGGAGCACCTCAAGGTCAAGGCCAGCCTCAGCAATTTAGAGAGGCCCCAAGAAACTAAGCAAGACCCTGACTCTAAATAAAACATAAAAAGGGCTAGGGATGTGGTTCAATCCCTGGTACCAAAAAAAAAAAAATTAAAAATTAAAAATAAAACAAAACCCCCACAAGCTCTCCACACTTACTGCAAGTGTTTCGAAGATACCGAAAGCATTCTGCAGTTTCTTTGAGATTCAAAGGGAAAGGGAGGAAAGAAAATACGTCTGAGTGAATGCATTAATATCTAAGAGGAAAAAAGAATATAATGCTACAGAATTATTTGAGAGCGGGGACATTGATTTAATTTAGGGCTTTAGTGCAATTGTAAAGAATACCTATTGAATAACTTGAAAAGAAAGATTAGGTTTCTTGAAAGAAAGCCCATGAAGTTTTTTGAGCTAAAACGTGTTGTTATTCGAGATGCTATAAAATAATGCTACAATGATCTCTAATCACAATCATCAGGTTTTGATTCGCTTGAATGTCAGATCCCGCGCACCCTCCCCACCAACAGGGACCCGGACATGGGTGACCTGTCCACGTGCCGATGTATTACAAATCTTTAAAGCTCTGCTTCCCACCTCCTGAGCTTCAATGTACTACATCACCCTTGGACAAGCAGAGGCAGCCGCGTGCGGCAGTTTGGCACTGCCCGGAGCATGCTCAGTTGAATCCCGACCCACTTCTGCAGGTGTGAACTCCGGAGTGTGTGGGTTTATTTTGTCAATGACAGAGAGAAAGAGAGGAACCGAGTTGTTTAAAGCCTCATCTCTTTCTAACAGCAATCCCTGACCTGACGGCAGAACCTACCCAGTCTGGCTGCAGAAGCCATCATACGCTTTAGTTTGCAAAATCCACCTCTCCGCATTTTCACAGCAACCTACCGCCAAGAGGGAGGCGCTGGAGTAAAAGGGCCGGTTTGGGGCGTGACCAAGAGGCGGGCAAAGAAGAGCCGGGAAGGAGGAGCCTGGTCCTCGCCCCCAAATTCACTTGCTCTCTCACGTCTTTAAAAAATAAAAATAAAGTCACCAACGTTGCAGGATCGTACAGGCAAGAAACTTCTATAGACGTGTAAAAAATTTAGAATTATTCTTTAAAAAAAAAACAATTGTTCTTTTGAGAAGATATAGAAACCACAAATAGAAATAAGGAAGAAGCAAATGAAAAATAAAAATAAAAAATCCCTCGGAACCCCAGCTCTCAGCAGTCACCAGTGGATGTCTGCCGTGTTTTCTTACAGCCTCTTCTGTGTGCAGGCTTTGCTATAAATAGCGTTTATTAATAGACAGCGCACAGCCGGGAAGGCCTGAGAAGCTTCCGATTGCAAGGTGGCAGGACGGACTTGGAGGCTGGCTAGATTTGGGAGTGTGTTCGTTGAACATCCTCTCCCCTTAGCGTCCACCATGGCACTCTAAGAATCTTAGCCTTTTCCGGGGTGTCCTTGAACACCAGTGAGTGCGACGCTCAAAAAAGTTGCTGAGGAAGCCCAGGTGGCGCCCTGCCCCCCGAAAATTACCAGTCACGCTGCCCAAGCACGACAGCGCCTAAAATAAGTGCCCTCCGCTGGGGTAAATAACCCTCGGCGTGCTGGTGCGGAGCCCTAGGGCCACTGAGCCCCGCCCAGAGGCTGCGCTCGCTGAATGAGGGACTCCGGGGCGCACAACAGCCTCTCCGTGGTCCTCTGCGGGTGGATGCAGCGGTTCCCACTGGCTCGCCCCGCGCCCCGCCCCCGCCCCTGGCCGCGGCTGCCGCGAAAACCCGGCGGCGACACCCCGCGCGGCCCCGCGCCTCCGCGCCGCCCGGCTAGCCGCACTGGGCATGCTCGGCACCGGCCGGCTCCGGCTCCTGTAGTTGGTAAGCTCCGCACTCCCGGTCGCCGGTGGCGCAGCCCGCGTAGCTGCGAGGCGCCGGCGGAGGCGGCTTGACCGCACTAGGCACCTCCGGGCATCCGGCTCAGAGAGCGGCGCAGCGGCAGCTTTCCAGCTGGCCATGGCGAGGGGTGCACGGCTACCACCTGAGTGGCGCAGCGGTGTCAGGTTAGCTGGAGCACCCGGAGTGCTGGAGCAGTGGGGCACGGGTGGGAGGGAGCCCCGCATCGGGTCAGCGGCCGAGCAATCGCCGGAGCTGCGGAACTTTCGGGCGCCTGGTCTGGCAGAGCCGGAGGCGGAGAGTGCTCGCTCCCTAAAGGCTCAGCGAGGTCCCAGCAGCCGGCTACTGAGGGTCTCAGGATGCTCGAGATCTGTTCGGGGCGGGGGCTGGGAACAGCCTCTCCTAGGCTTCTGCTGTAACCTTCTGAGGGCAGGGAACGCGTTGTCCACTGTGCGCTGCCCAGGTCTCCTGGGGCAAGTGGACGCCGAGCAGAAACGGGGGACATCATCGGGCTCTGCATCACTCGGGTCACTGTGCCTCAGTTTACCCCGCACAGGGAGGAGAGTGTACTGGCTGTGGCACTGAAGGTGGTGCGTGCGGATTGTGCTTTAGGGGCCGAGAGGGCGCAGCGTCCTGGTGCTGCAGGAGTGCGGGAAACCGTGCGCGTGCCGCCGCCTCGCGACTGGAGCTCTCAGAGTTTGTCGCATTTGACACCACAGCAAGTTGACATCGAACTGCTTCATGGCCTAGAATGGGGAAACGTGCTTCCTTGGCTTAAAAAACTAAATATTAGCCAAACTGATTTATTGTGAACGTGAGCATTAACCTGCCTCCTCTAAAAAAAAAAATATTATGCTTGAAAGTCGAGAGGTTTATAAAGCAAATTAGCATGAAAAACAAAAGAATGCAGATCCATTGTCTGTTCACGTTGTAGAAAATAATCTATTACAGTTCAATGTCATTGTTTTTAAAGACACTTGTTAAGTTTGGTTACTGTAGCAGTCTTTATTTTGCCTTATCTTGGCATTATATGAAAAACTTGGAAACCTAGCACTGCAGAACTGTAATGTTTTTTGAAGTTTTCTCACGTTTGTTTCTAGATGAAACACATTTTTTCCCAGTTACTACTATGCTAAACATAGTAAAATTGTTCAAGATGAAATACAAGATGGGAAAAGATTTCTTTTCAGGAGAGAGTAAGTTAGAACAATATAGTTTTGACGTTTTACTAATACAGAAAATGCAATTTGTAGACCCCACTGGGGCTTCTACAGTTGGTTCTTCCTAAAACCCCCACTGTTAGCCCTGTTGGTTCTAACCAGAGCAAGGTAAACAGTCTTTGTCCTACTGAGAACTAGTTTTACCTCTGCTTAAACCTAAATGCTCAAGCCTGTTTCCCTAAGTACTACTTAGTGGTTCAGTTGTTTATTTATTAAGCCTATTACAAATTTCTTGTTCACAGCCTTAATAGACCTTTAAAATGCATTGACATTTCATTGAGCTGTAAATAGCCTTTAAGGTGGGTTCTTGTTTATAATCTTGAGATGACTAGGACTCCGATTCCAGGTAATGTCTCCAAGTTGGCTGTATGTTATATTTATACATAAATGAGATGTAATAGCAGGAAAGACCTTGAATGCCTGGACAAGAGTAGCAAAATGATCACCATTTGCACAGACTAGACCATGGGTTCTCTACTTTAGCCAAGTGATGTTGATTATTCCTAAATGTATTTCCTGCTGCTTCTGTAGAAAAACTTAGAAAACCCCAACACAAATATTGAATAATTCTGCTTCCCTTTTCTATGAAAATGCACCAAGGTTAAAATCTGCTATGATGTAACTTACCCTGTACATCAGTTTTTATATTCTCGGTCTGAATTCCCAAGTGGAAGAAGGGAGAGTCTCCCCTTAGCCTTGTGCTCCTCCTGATCTGTAGGAATCAGCTGAACCTAATTTACCTTTTAGGAATGTGAAGTTTAATACAGATCCATAGGCCCACTACTGTATCTAAAAATCCTAAGTATTTTCTCAGTGCTAACGGGGAAAAAAAAATGAAGTCTAACCAAAAGCTTATTTACATAATACCCTTGGCTTCAAAAATTCCGTGTGTTCTAACATAAAACTAATAAAATGAACAAAAGTTAGGTTAAAGGGAGGTTTAATTATTGCTAATGAAGACAAAATAACAAAGCAAACTTTGTGTTCAAGTTAAAAGACGGGTAATAATCTCTTCTTCTTTGTACTTAACTGTTGGGTTTTAAAGTTCAACTGCTAGGCACCTCATTTTTAGGTGACTTCCATGCGTTTGGATTTCTGTATTATTTGGTGTTAATATGCTTTCATAGCAAACCATTGACTTTTAAAATAGATTTTTTGTCCTTAATTTATTGAACTGCTTCTTTGGCTTGCAATTTATATATTTGAGGCTACTTAAATTTTGCTTAATTTGGTTTTTTAATAAGTTTTGTGTAAGAACTTCCAGATACTGAAATGTTAAATAAATATTGTAGCCAAATTATTTTTATCCTCTGACCAGCCCAGTGAGATTTGTTAGGCAGTGTTTTGTTTTTGATTCTTAATTCAGAAATCTTGTATATGATATCACTTCTCTGACTTGTCATTTGACCTAGCACTTGGGGTGCAAGTTACCTTTTCTAGCCAAATCCAGGGGGACACTTAAAACTTCTACAATATTTTGTAATCCACAGCAAATCACATTAAAGTTAGAAATAGACTTAGAATACAAATGGTTGATTTTTAAGTTTGCTGTAATACCTCTTTGGAATGGTTTAAATATTTAGGGGTTTGATTGATTATGTGATAATAAGCAATTCAGAGCTGTCAGAAGTAGTTTATAAGTCATACTCCCTAACAGAAGTTCTGCAGATATTTTATTGGTCTTGCCTCTACCTCCACTGAAGTTCTTTACCCATTAAAATATCACATTAATTTTTCTTCTCCACAAACTTTTATAGTTAGGCCTCTGAGGCTGCAAAATGAGTAAGACTGGGTGACTCATGATCTGATTCAGTGATATGCTTGAGGACAAATAAATTACAGTACCAGTGCTTCAGTCTGCATGCATGCAGGCCTGAGAAGGAGGAGAGGAGAGGGCCTCATAGAAGTGGTTACATTTCCACAGGATCTTAAGGAATGCCTGAGGACTGGGTCAGAGTCTTCAAGCACAGAAGTGGATCCTCTGGGCAGAAGGAACACAGTTATGGCAGGCAGAAAAATGACTCCCCGGGATGTCCACTCTGAGAGTTTGCAGATATGGTAAAGGATCTCAGGATGGGAAGGTTATTCTGGATCATCCAGCTGGGCCTACTGTAATCAGAAGTGTCCTTAGTGAAGGAGGGAAGCAGAAGCTAGTGTCACAGTACTGCCACGTGGGAAAGACTCGCCATCACTGGCTTTGAAGATGAGAAGGGGCTGCAAAATAAAGAATGAGGGCCTCCTCTAGGAGCTGGTGAAGACCAGGACGAGGATCCTTACCTTACCAACTCCTTGATTTTAGCCCATTAAGACTTGACAATAGGGAATGAAAGGAAGCAGGGGAGGGGGAAGACAGTGGAATGAACTTGACCGAACTTTCCTATGTACATATATGAATATACCATGGTGAATCTCACTATCATGTACATCCACAAGAAATTAATTAGAAAAAATAACTATGGGTAAAAAGCAGATCAGTAGAGGGCTCGGGAGCAGGGGGTGGGGGAAGGAAGGGGAAGGAGAGGTACTAGGGACTAAATTCAAACAAGATATGTTCCATGCTTTTGTAATTTTGTCAAAATGAGACTACTGTCATATATAACAAAAAGAACCAATTTTTTTTTAAAAAGACACATGTTAAACTTCTAAGCCTCATAACTGCAAGATCATAAATTAGGGTCATTTTAAGTCACTAAATTCGTGGTATTTGCCAAAGAAAGAAAACACAACCATATACAAAGAAAGATTTGGAAATGATGAAATAAGGGGCAGGGGCAGTATGAGAGGAGTAAAGTAGTCCTTTTGTGGTGATGAACTCAACCTCATATATGTGAGTTTGTATTTTATCCCATTATATGTAAATAATGACAAACCCATGAAGGATTTTTAAATAGCAATGCAAAATGGACAGGCTGCTGCCAGATTTGTTTTTCTAAAAAAGAATGTATGGCTAAACTCCAAATTTCACAGGCAGTCTGGTAAGGGGAGCCTAACCAGAGACAGTCAGTGGCAAATAGAGATCTGGAACCAGCCTATTATAATTCACATCTTTGAGATGATCTGAAATGATGTGTGGGAGTGTGTGTGTGTGTGTGTGTGTGTGTGTAATTAAAAGTTTTAAGAAGACTTTAATTCACAATTCCTAATAGAAGAAGGGCATAAAATTAAAACAGAAGGACCAAATCATATTTCAACCACAAATGGCCCCTGATTTAGAATGGTTGAATTTAGGATTTTTCAATTCAGAGTGAGTTATTGGAACTTGTCAGTTAGAGGGTCCTCAATACTTTGTTTTGGCTCATTGTCATCCTGGCCATAGTCATCTGTCCTGATGTCTACATCCATTGCCACGTGAGCAGGGAGCTGTGAAAGCTCAAATTTAACATAATTAACTTGAAAATGATGAGATTTCACACAGGCCCACTCTGACCAGTTGGTAATAGCTACTAGGTAGTCATGGGCTTGCCTTGGCTCAGCTGGAAGAACACCACAGTCAATTAGCCCTGTTTGCCTTGGGCTCTGTGTTTGGTGGGGGATGGGTGGCAGCTTTAAATACTAGATCATCTAATTTCCAAGCTTAAATATTGGAAATTTGGTCATTCTTCTGAAACATACACATTCAATCTCTTTTATGGACAAATCCTCAATATCTGCCCTCTAAACATTTAAAGTCTGCTTGAGTTGTTGTCTGTCTGTGTTGGGAAAATCTAAACTCAAGAAATCTTCTACTTTAATATTACAAGAGTAGCTCCAAATTGATACTGTAAGAAGAAAATTAGTACAGGAACACACAGTTTTCAGACAGTGTGGTAAAGCAAGTGCTGGGCTAGCAATATCTCACACTGAAAACAATGGTAAAATTTGATTAAAATTTATCTTAATAAAAATAAAACTTATTTATATTGCACAACTTTCATTTGCATAAATTCATAAGATTTTTACCCAAGTGT